TTCCTGCTGCCTGTGGATCAAGATGTAGAACTCTCAGCTCCTTCTCCAGCACCACATGTGCCTGCATGCTGCCATGCTTCCTGCCATGACGATAATGAACTAAAGCTCTGAACTGTAAGCCAGCCCCAATGAAATGTTTTCCTTTATAAGTGTTGTCGTGGTCATGGTGTCTTTTCTCAGCAACAAGAACCCTAAGACAAGAGGTTACCAAAAAGGCAGATCTGTTCATCTAAGTAGCTTGTCCCCATTTTGGGAGTGCATAACATAAAAGGAACCTTCTGATGGCTGCTTATGTTCAGGAGTCCTGTGCTGTCACTGAGGATTAAACAGAAGCCTAGCCTGGGGGAAGTCCAGGTTTCTTCTTTCTGCTCCCGGGTTCGGGAAAGCCAACAGCTGGGTGATAGATGATTAAAGATGTGTTCCCAACACTGTTCCAAATGGCCCACTTTCCCAAGCAACATCCCCTTTCAAGAAAGCTGCTAGCAGCTGCAGAATGCTACCCATGTCCTTTCACCAGGCTGCAGTATCAGGCTTACGAGGGAAATACAATAGAGACAACCTCTGGAATCTGCAGGGCTGCCACCCCTCAAATAAAGGGGAATCCCCTCCCCTGTGAGCTCACCCACTGAGATGTATTTATCACACTTGTCACAATCAAGAAAGAGATCATGTCTGACTTCTGAATTTGGTAGTGAGGACAGACATGGGAAACAGCGAGGAACGCCAACAATCAGAGGCACTGAATGTGACGGACAGACAGCCAAAGATTTCCATGGGTCTCCATGAAGAAATCCTAGAGAAGAATGCTACTAGTAGAATTCCTGAGAAAATGAGTTTGGAGCTAAAAAAAAAAAAAATCCATACAAGCAACCCACAAGCCTCTGGTGGGCTCTACCAGAACATGCAGTGCTGAGGCCAGAGTGCCAAGTCAGTCAACCTCGACTGTTCTGGCATGTTCTGGTTGGACAGTGTGGAAAACAGGGGGGAGGGATTTATCCAGGCACAGTTTGTCTTGGTTACAGCATGCTTTTAGGGAGACGTATGGAGTGGGGTGCTGGCAGAGAAGGAAGAAATCTGATTGGCTATCTACACAGAGGTACAACTTGGGTTCTGTAAATAACCTCTAAACTGCAGATGCATCTTGTTTACCCAGTTTTATTTATCTACTCACTTGGTTAGTTAGTTAGTTAGTTAGTAGTTAGGTGCTGAGGATGAAACCCAAAACCCATGGCTTCATGAATAATGAATGGGGAGTAAGTACTCTGCCAATGAACTAGATCCAGCTCTCCTTTTACACTCCTCTCTCTCTCTCTCTCTCTCTCTCTCTCTCTCTCTCTCTCTCTCTCTCTCTCTCTCTCTGTTTCTTTTTTAACTTATGGTCTCTTATACCCCAGGCTGCCTCCATACTTGCTATGTAGCTGACAGTGACCTCCAACTTCCGATCCTCCTGCCTCTACCTCCCAAGTACAGTGATCGCTAGCGTACAACCATATGTTTTTGTTTTAAATTATTTCAGTTTACTTGTGTGTAGGGGGTATGTGTGTCATTATCACAGAAAGAAATCAGAAGACCACTTGTGGGAGTTGGTCCTCTCCTTCCACAGTGTGGGTCCTGGGAATCGAACTCAGTTGGTCCTGCGTGGCAGCAAGTGTCTTTACCCGCTGAACTATCTTGCTTGACCCCACACCCCATTTTAGGCGGTGCTGAGGGTCAAACCCAGGGCTTTGTGTATACTAGAAGAACACTCTACTGGGTCATAAATAACCCCAGCCTTCTTTTTACTTACAAAAAAAAAAAAGATTTATTTTTATTTTGTGTGTATGAGTGTCTTGCCTAGACATATGTATGTGCACCACATGCATGCCTGGTGCCCACAGAATTCAGAAGAGAGCATCAGATCCCTTGAAATCATAATGGTTTTAAGCCATCACGTGGGTGCTGGGAACCAAACCCAGGTCCTCTGCAAGAGCAGCAAGTGCTCTACACCTCTCAGCCATCTCCCCAGACCCTTCTTTTTATTTTTTACTTTGAGACAGGATTTCACTAAATTGCCCAGGGTGGCCCTGAACTTGTAATTCTTCTGTCTCAACCTCCCAAGCAACTCTGATTGCAGGCTGGGACCACCAGGCCTAGAGTTTCTTTTGGAATTTTAGTCTGTGTCTTTTTATAGGTGAGTTGAGAAAATTGATATTGATGGATATTAATGACCAGTAATTGTCAATTCCTATTATTTTTTGTGGTTGTGTTGTGTTGTCCTTCTTTGGTGTATGTTGGTGTAGGATTATCTATTTCCTGAGTTTTCATGGGTGTGTTTAGCTTCTTTGGGTTGGATTTTCCCTTCTAGTGCTTTCTGTAGGGCTGGGTTTGTGGACAGGTATTAATTAAATCTGGTTTTATCCTGGAATATTTTGTTTACTCTGCCTATGGTGATTGAGAGTTTTGCTGAGTATAATAGTCATCTTCTTAAAGTCATTTTTAGGATTTATTTCTTCTGTTTCTTCTGTCTTGGTATGTTCAGGTCTTGCAGGTGTAGAATCACTACATTCTGATGGTGTCATATAGGTCTTTATGTTGTTGCCTGTATTTTTGCACTGGCATCTACTCATCTCTTCCTCTGCTCGGTGCAGGCAGTGTCTATGTCTTCTTTTGGAATTTTAAATTAATTGTCAATTTAAAAAAATTCTATGAGAATTAGCATTGTATAGAAATACTCAGACATTTCTTTTCTTTTTTCTTTTTCTCCAAGACAGGGTTTCTCTGTGTAGCCTTGGCTGTCCTGGAACTCTCTCTGTAGCCAGGCTGACCTTGAACTCAAAGAGATCCGCCTGCCTCTGCCTCCTGAGTGCTGGGATTAAAGGCATGAGCCTCGACACCTGGCCAGAAATTTCTTTTTCTCTTGAAAAACCTATGCTCGTTCCTACGTACTGTTGGGGCTGGACTTGGCCGCCTCCTCTTGACCTGGAGTTGGTCACTGAGCTCACTCATTCATCCATACAGCTTGCCTAGCTCATGTAGGTGTTTGGGTCTCAATAATACATGAAAATACTATGAACAATTGTTTAGTTTCTTTTGTACATTATGGTAAAATGTCTATAATATACAGTTTACTGTTTTATCCATGTAAGAGTTTATTTCAGGAAGCTGAGCACACCACAGGGCTGTACAGCCATCACCTCCATCTGTTTCAAGACTGTTTTCATCCTCAAACTGAAACTCTGTTCCTGCCCAACAGTAATTCCCTGATCCAACAGCCCCACCTCCCCCACACAGACCCCCACAGACACCCCCACACACACTTCCCATGAATTTGACTCAGGTTAGGTCTCAGTTATGGACTCACATAGTGTGGGTCCTTTTGTGACCGGCACATTTCACTCATCATAACATCCCCTGAGTTTATCGTGAGCCCAGTGTCAACCCGGAAGAACCTGGTGCTCGAACACACGAAGAAACCCTTCCGTCTCACAAGGAGCGGGCGCAGTGAGGATCGGAATCTGGGTCCATAGATTCCCGGCCCCGCCCTCCTCTGACTCCATAGAAAGTCTTCCCTCTTCAGTAGTGTGAGCAGGAGCAGGGTCCTCGCTCACAAAGGTGCCAAGTGCCCTTCTCTCTGTGTGCTCTTTGGAGGGGCTGCTCAACATCTCTCTTGGGAAAGGGGAAGGAGCTATCCTCTAGTTAGAAGAGGAACAGGATATGAATAGACCATCCCTACCCGCATTCCTCCAGTGCCCTCCCCACAGCGCTAGGTAACCCTTAACTCCAGAGAGAGTTTTAAGAAGTGCTGTCTAGGAACTGAAGCTGTCACGCTAACCCTTGTTGCCAGGCAATGGAGAGCAACGTCCTCATCCACGCCTATGCCGAAAATACTTCCCCGTGGCTCTCCAGACATTGATGCATTGGCTTGGGCTGCGTTTAGGTGACCTCGTGCGCACGAACAGTCTTGGGAGCTGTCTCTCTGTCTTCCTCCGTGGAGGGGGCAGCCCTGCCCCAGCCTCTTCACTTCCTGCGCATGCTCACTCACCTCTTTGCCCAAAGGGCCAAGCAGGAAGCTGCCTTGTGCTGTGTGACCAGCAGCAGGGACCCCCTCCCCTCCCCAGAGATGACCTTCTTTACAGGTGCTTTTCTTGTTCAGGCGACGCTGCTTCACACCAACTGATGGTTTTTCTTTCACCTGAGTGTCTGTAGGGACCTTTCCTCCCAGTCAATCACCTAGTCAGCTAGGCATTTTCTTGGTGTGTGTGCGCGGCACGTGTGTGTGTGTGTGTGTGTGTGTGTGTGTGTGTGTGTGTGTGTGTGTCAC